ATACTTTGTGACTAGACATCACTTTCTCAGTTATGATCACACCCAGCAAGCAAGAATTCCATAGTGGATTCCAAAATGATGAGGTGTACTATTCATCCCTGGCACTGCATCGCTGTTTGATGGTACATTATTAAAATTGTGGTACTGAATGCGCCACAGCCTCGACTCAAAGTCACAGTGTTGCGGGACTCTTGCCCGACCAGTTTAAAGTAACGAAAACACCCCAGGGACACACTGAGGAACAGGTACAACACAACGGAGAAGTCAGAAGCACCTGAATGATTTCTTAAGGTATGTTACAACACTAATCTCGAAGGCAGATGGCCAGGATATGATTACAGCAGTCATTTACCGCCCAGAGGTAGGCCTCCCTCCAACTTTAGGGTGCCACAAAAAGATGTCGACTCTTCGCGGCTGTTGTTCAGTTTAAAAAACAAAAAAAGCATGAATATATTAATTGCACATTGCTCAAGCATCACATTTATTTGTCAAATGCAGGTGACAAAAACCCCCCACCAACTGTGCAGTCTCCAGTAAATACCAGTTCATAGCCACAGGTGCAACATCATCGAAATACTCTGCAAGTCGAGACATCCAATGACTGATCAGGATAATTCGATATTTTACAAGAATTGAATAGTCAACAAAATGAACAAATGTAGAGTCACTGAACGGATAATGAGTCGCACAATGACTTGCACATTCCCAAGCCCCATACAGCACACGTTCTTGGTGCCGAATCCATTGTAAACAAGGTCCCATCAAACAACACAAACGTCCAAAACTTGATGCAAATAGCGTACTTCGTCAAATTGTGGCCTCCTGTCTAATAGAAACCCTGCTTCAATAACAAATCCGATTCATTGGCCCACTTGAAATAAAAATAAACATCACATCTTCAAAAAAACGTTTTCCATCAAGAGTCATTCCTTTCTAATCCCACTCCTCTGATGATTTAAGACCGCTGGCTACCAAATAAGAAAAGCAAACCAACAGTGTTGAAAACCTTCCCTTTGGTAATTTATACATATACCTCCACCATAAATAAGCTTCGACTCCCTGGTTGCAAAAGGGCACAGGAGCGTCTTTTAATGGCGAAGGCCGCCTTAGCCGTTCAGTCTCTGCGTGACCACCTCCCTGTACATGATCGAGATATAGACGAAGAGGAGGAGGATGACGAAGAAGTCGTCCATGAATCCGAGAAGGCCGAAAAGCGCCTCGGGGACGATGTCGAGTGGCGAAGCCAGGTAGGTCAGGGCTCCAACCAGACAGAGGAGAATACGGATTCGAAACATCCAGAATAGTCCGCCCATGGAGAACATTTCCCTGAAAGCGTGGCGGAGCAGGGTCGGTACGTCACGCAGCCTGTCCATTAACTGAGAGAAATTAAAGGGGGAAAGAAAATAAAATAAATAACAAGCCTGTGACAATGACAAACGAAATACAAGTCACTGCATATATCATTGGAATCAATTTCGACTTATTAGTTTATTATTAGTTCTTATTAGTTGTGATGGCTTGCTGGCATTGCAGAATGAAAAAAAATAAATGCTTGGGGGGGAAAAAGTGACTGAAACTACATCTTAAGTTTGTCAAACTATTACTATCATAAAAATGTCTGTTTTCAAAGATTGTCAATTAATATTATACATCAGCTGTCAGGGTTCAGTTTCAATGTATTTATTTCTGTATTGATGTATGTCTGAACAGAAGAACGAAGAATTATACTTCTGTATTGTACTGTAGGAATTTAAATCATTGCACAATATTTAGTGACATTTATTTTTTCTTAATCTTGCACTTGAAAAACACTCCGTCTTTAAAAAAAACTAAAACTAATGCTAAAACTAATAAACTAAGCTAAAGAAATAACTTTTGAAGGAATGAAAACTAATAAAATAAAACTGTATTTTTTTTTTTTTTTTAATTAAGAACTCACAGATCGTGGCTGGCCTGAGAAGCGACGGTTGTAATCGTTGATGTCTCTAAGGATGAGCTGAGGTTCTGCCTCACCATCCTGGACCCTCTGAGGAGTGGCATGCTCATGGAACAACGGGAAGAGCAATGTCACCTGGACACAAAGGGGAGAGAAAAAAAAATACAAGATGTACAGTAGCTCATTTGAAGAAAATCCAAGATGGAAAAAAAAAACCCAGATGTGAAGTCTCACCATTTGTCTGCATATGGGACAGTTAATGGCACCCAACCAGGCGCCATACCTCCAGTAGGCTATAATACAGGAACCTACATGGGGACAGGGGAAAGCTACATTAAGTTGCTAATCTTAGAAAAATAAATAAAAAAAGGCAAGTTATCCATCGAATAAAAGTGCCGAATGTTCCTCCTCTTTGAGTGCCTTTACCCAGGCAAAAACTACTACGCTGATTTCCACCAAACATTGTAGAAGGGCCAAAGGAAGAGCCCATTAAATTCTGACGCATCTGTTTGACATTTTGACAATTTTTGTCATGCATTAATTTTAATGCAAGGGGTGCGAACCTGTGAAGGTGTGAAATTTGTTATGATCCATATTAGGATTGGTCAGTTCAGGCAAAGATTTGTCCTTTACCGTTTCATTTCTAGTGCGTCATAATAAGCTTAACTGAATTCAGAAATTAAATTCTAAGAGTCAGTTGAAAGTACAAACCACATTCAAAGCGTCTAAACTCAATAATTGCCTCAGTGAAAAGATCGGCCATAGATTTTTTTTTTTTTTTTTGACTGGCATTGTGCATACCAGCAGTACAACATCCTTACCACAGAAAAGATGACCACAGTTGGTCTCAACAGGGAGAACAGCTTGTTGTAAACATACGGGGCAAGACATGTCTCTATAATACTGCGGCCTGGGTTCTGGCTGGGGATTTTCCTCCTGGGATACATACATTAAAATTAAAACATGTAAAGAATCAAATTGCCATCATTAAATGGCCGACAATTACATGTTATCACATATTATACCAGTAATATTTGTGCTGATGTCAGTTTTTCAAAGCTGACAATAGTCAGCTCAAGTAGCATTATTCTACAACTACTATGGCTGATCTTTTTTTGTATTTATTTGATTTATTATTAATTATGACATCCGTTATTAGCCCATAATAAGCTTAACTGAATTCAGAAATTAAATTCTAAGAGTCAGTTGAAAGTACAAACCACATTCAAAGCGTCTAAACTCAATAATTGCCTCAGTGAAAAGATCGGCCATTTTTTTTTTTTTTTTTTTTGACTGGCATTGTGCATACCAGCAGTACAATATCCTTACCACAGAAAAGATGACCACAGTTGGTCTCAACAGGGAGAACAGCTTGTTGTAAACATACAGGGCAAGACATGTCTCTATAATACTGCGGCCTGGGTTCTGGCTGGGGATTTTCCTCCTGGGATACATACATTAACATTAAAACATGTGAAGAATCAAATTGCCATCATTTAGATGGCCAACAATTACATATTATCACATATTATAATACCAGAGATATTTGCGCTGATGCCAGCTTTTTAGAGCTGACAATAGCCAGCTCAAGTAGCATTATCCGACAACTATTATGGCTTTTCTTTTTTGTATTTACTGTATTTGATTTATTATTATTTATGACATCGGTTATTACCCTACAAACCTGCTCTGTTTGAAGCTGCTGTCGGACAGCGCGAACATGCTCCTGATTCTCCGGATGAATATTCTGCGGTTGCTCCTCTCTGAAATATCAATGTGTAGATATGATCTAGTCAACGACAAAAGCAAATGAGCAAGGTGATTTCATGTAAACTAATATATTTTGCTGTATTTGCTTACCTGCAGAGCAGCGTGAGGAAACCTGCCAGGAAGGTGATGGTGAGCACCACAACAAACAGAACTTGGTTGCTCACACCTTCTATTAACGTGTCTTCATCTTGGATGAGATAGTCCACGTCCGCACACTGATTGTCCTCCATCACCCACACTCATAACCTAATCATTACCTCCATTACTGCGGTGAATAAGGAGAAATACTGTACAAGTGCAATTCACACTACATGTCAACAAGCACATGAATATGCTACGTGCCAGCCACTAAGTAACGTTTTCAATCCAACCAAAATCATATTGGCGATCTAGGCATCGTTACAATATTTACGGTATCTGTATAATAGTATTGCACAAGGTTGATGTAAGTAATCTACTCACCTTTTAGTTCCTCCACGGAAACAAACTATCTCAGGAGTCGGTCTGGTAAAGGCGTTACTTTCTAGGATTTTGAGACATTGCCCTCCAGTAAATGCAGTCTGTCATGATGTTAAGGTTACAACTGAACGATGGCTATCGTTGCTAAGTTTAGCAAACTATCTCGTACGCGAAATAATTTATATTTACTGATTTTGGGATGGTGTTAGCTTAAAGTAGCCAAAACTTGTTAGCTGCTACCCACCCATTTGCCTGATTGACAAGCGTCTTGGGTCTTACCGAAAGATGTTCTGCGAATGAGATTTCCTACTTCCTCGGCGCACGACGCCCATTGGAAAGTATGTGGTAATCCCATTGCGCCGTTTGCAAAGACGGGTTATACAGTATAGGCCTACTTCCTCGGCGCACGACGCCCATTGGAAAGTATCGAGGTAATCCCATTGCGCCGTTTGCAAAGACGGGTTTTACAGTATAGGTATTATAAATTAAATGAAGGGTAATTCCTTTGTGTTTTAGCAAGAAAATTACCCCCCCCCCCTTCTACATGTTTCAATGCATTTTTACGTCTTGCTTTTATGGCGTTTGTGTGCGTAGCAACAGATCATCAACAGGATAATTATTTAAAATAAAAAAATATTAGGTGATGTGTATCATTTTGGCTTTGAATGGTGAAAAGTAAATCATTTTACAGATCCGCTGTAGTCTGCTTTCGCGTTTCCCTCGTATCTAATCTTTCATTCTTAGAACATCTCTGGACATTTCGGTGGTGCATTAAAAGTTCACAGTTTTAACACGAGGTGGCAGTAGGTTGCCTCAATAACAACATGACTTTCGTCAAACTGTCGCGAAGAAGTACCACGCCTCCAGTCGTCACAGAAAATGCTGTTATGTCTAGCAGGGTGCTAGTCTTACAACAACATATTTATTGATTTGTGGCAAAAAAAATAAAATAAAAATGCCTCGTTATGCTCAGATAGTGATGGGCCCTGCGGGTAGCGGTAAGGTAAATTATCCGACGATTCTTGTCTTACATGACAATTTGAGGCATATTTTCGAGATGGGATCTTAGCTTATTTTGCTAGCTCTTTAGCTAACGACAGTCCAAGATACACGCGATTTACTTGTTTTGTTTTACTTTACAGAGTACCTACTGCGCCACCATGATCCAACACTTTGAGTCTTTGAATCGTTCGGTTCAAGTGGTCAATCTGGACCCTGCAGCAGAGCATTTTGATTACCCTGTTATGGCAGGTGAGAGAGTGATATCACTAAATGTAGCTAAATGCAGGGAAAATAGCACACCGCAATACAAAGTAAACATTGTTCAAAGTTTGCTTCTTCAACAAATGGGCAGGTGAAAAAAATGGCATAAGACCCCAAATTACAACGTGTTCCTCATGAATATCCAGACTAAAATGTACCATTTATTGTGATCGTTTTGACATATTACTGTACATAAGACAGAATAGATATATTTTGCTCCAGCAAAACAGGAATCCACGAGGTAAAATTTTACTTGATGCCTAATACAATTTTAGTGAAAACAATCTTTGGCCCATTAACATTGGTCCTGGCCTTAAAATTGGGAGCCCCTTGTATGCTGTTATGTAATCAGAATCACTTTTGTAATTTGTATCTTCACATTTTCAAATCACATCCTTATTAATTGTCATTTGTGACATAATAAATTTATGGTATCTCTGTCGTCAGACATCCGTGAACTCATCCAGGTAGAAGATGTGATGGAAGATCAATCTCTCAGATTTGGCCCCAATGGCGGTCTGGTCTTCTGCATGGAATATTTTGCCAACAACTTTGACTGGCTGGAGGAAGCCTTGGGTCACGTAGAGGATGACTACATCTTGTTTGACTGCCCCGGTAAATATAGAATGCATTTTTCTTCACTATTTAAAACTATTCCCCATTGGCTTTATTTCAAGGTTTGATTTAAAGATCTATGTTGGTAAAAAAATAAAATAAAAAACTACACCGGGGACTGATTGAAGGTTTCAGGCGAGTGATTCTGTGTCATTTCAAATGTAAAATAATCAATGTAAATTTATCATATGTGCCCTTTTAAGGTGTATACTTTTGCATTTTCCAGGTCAGATTGAGCTGTATACTCACCTTCCAGTCATGAGGCAACTGGTGGAACAGCTACAGCAGTGGGAATTTCGGGTGTGTGGGGTCTTCCTGGTGGATTCCCAGTTCATGGTGGAGTCTTTCAAGGTTGCATTTTATCTTTCATATTTAACACACTATTTTATCTGTTCTCAGTTTGACATGACCAATTCCTCTGACTGCAGTTCATCTCAGGAGTCATGGCGGCCCTGAGCGCCATGGTGTCATTGGAGATTCCCCAAATAAACATCATGACGAAAATGGATCTGCTCAGCCCCAAAGCCAAGAAAGAAATTGAAAAGTAAGTTGCAGATTTTGCTTGCATCAGACCATATTTTCAAATTTAATGACAGAGATTGCTAGGTTTTCATTATGGGGGAGGCCTTTATTTGTTTCTGGGTTGCTACGGCATACATATAGCAATGGAATGTTGTCGGTGGGGCGGTGCCTGTATGTATAATGGCAGGAGTGTGAAGGTTAGTTAACTCGTGACCCTCACTTCTCCTCCCCTCTTGTATTGAAAGCAAATGTCTCACACATATTTCATATGTCACACTAGGTGCCGGCACTGTTGTCATTTTTTTTTAATTGGCTATAGTAGCAATATTCGTCTCCAAGTGGGTTGGGCATACACACTGTACACTCTAGCTCATAAAGATTGGGGCGTTGACATAATTGTCAGCTTTTTGGCTCTGAACAAAAGAAATTGATTTGACTTGAAACAAATGATGATGATATGCTTTAACTGTAGTCTAACGTTTAGTTTTAATTAGAGGTTATTTACATCCAAATCAGGTGAACGGTCTAGGATGGTCCGGGTCTTGACCAAATCAAAGTCTCACCGATAGTCAATTGCCGTTAAATAAAGTGTGTGTATAAAAAAGTGTGTGTATATAAAAAAAAAAAAAACTAAAAAAGATGGGAATTGTGTCGATGTCACAGTATTTCTAGACCTCAATGTATTTGTTTAATTTTGTCGCATGAGGACAACACACTCAGTAATTATTTGGGTCACACTGTCTAATACAGTGGGAGCCACTTATTTAGATGCACTGTATTTCATTGTTGTTTATTAAACACCACAAAGTAGAAGGAGGCAGTATCTATTGACGTTTTGAAAGTTGTTGCTCCTTCAATGCAACCCTTCTGTTTTCACAAGGTATCTTGATCCTGATATGTACTCCATGATGGAGGATAACTCTGACACCATCAGAAGTAAAAAGTTCAAGAAGCTGACCGAAGCTATTTGTGAACTGGTAAGGCGATTTAAAACAAGCTTATTTCAAATTGGTAGTGAAGAAAGTGCACAAACATTGAGTTGCTGGTTTGATTTGTAACATGATAGACAATGGGCAAAAAATGTTAATCATTTTTTTCCAAAGTAAAAGAAGGTTTGTCAATGTCTTATTTTGAAAAAAAACGTGGTTTTGTGATTCATTGAAAGTTTTCTGTTTTTTTTTTTTTTTTTTTTACAGATTGATGACTACAGTTTGGTGAGATTCATGCCCTTTGACCGTAGTGATGAGGAAGGTATCAACATAGTACTACAACATATTGACTTCACGATACAGTATGGAGAGGATTTGGAAGTCAAGGAGCCAAAGGTAACTAGCATAACTCCTTGAGTCCTTGATTTACGACGGAATTCAGTTCCTACTGTGGCGGCGTTACCCAAATCTATCCGTACGCAAGCCAGAACATGCAGTAGGCTTAACACTAACGTATGCTAGCAAACGCATGACTAAATACACCATTGGAGGAAATAATTTTATCAAAAGCACTTCTTGGCAATAAATTAAAAAAAAAAAGAAAAATATGAAGTACGATGGTAATTGAGCACTTGACGATGTATTATTAGAGCTCTGCAAACTACCATAATGTCCCGCGGATAATGCTCCCCTGCGATTTGGGATCGTGAAACCAGGACAACCTTGATATGTATAATTTTGATTAAATAGACATTCACATTTCCAATCCTCTCCTCTTTTACAGGAGACTAACGAAGACTCTGGCGACACCAATTATGATGAGTTCTTTCAAGGCCAAGTGGAAAGCTGAGAAATATCATTTCAGGACTTGATGCATTCACTTGACTTTTCCATTAGAACTCACTAAAAGGCTAGCGAAGAACCAGGATGTGAGACGCAGTGACTAAGGGACTTGATTGTGTCGTTGACTTTTAATGTATACTATTTGCTATGATTATTAATGTGACTTTGGGGTAAAATACGTTGTACATAACATGTATTTAACAATAAATACATATACAAACTGATTTTATGGCGCCCCCTTGCGACCATTTTGCAAAGTGCCGTGCGGCCGCTTCCTGTTTCAACAGAAGGGTGGGACAGGCGGAAGCAGCATCTTGGGGTGCTTATGTTATTAGTCGCCGAGTGGTTGAATTGATTATTTGTCCTTCAACATGCCGGTAAGTACATTCCACTCGCCCGTAGTTGATTAGTAACCGAAACGGTACCGAACAACTCAAAAGAGACGCGGCGTTGAGCGGGCAAGCTTTGAAGTTAGCATCATGGGCTAGCAGGGTTAGCAGTCGCTCGCTCTCAAATTAAATGGATTGTAACCTGCTTCGGTAAGAGTTTACCGATGTCGAACGTTGTTTGGAATCTGAGCGCTAACGTTCGGTTCGGCGTCGTAGGAGTAAAACTTGCGACTTCATCCATCAAGAGATGCGAGAAGACGCTGCGAGTTTGGAATATGTCAGCAGCTGTGTTGAACTTCTCTTGTCAGGCGTATCACTCAACGATGCACGAGCAGAACACCAGGACGGTGGGGAACATGGCTTTACTGCCCCTTAAAACGCAGTTTAAGGGACCAGCGAGAGGAGACGGTGAGTGGACAGTACTCGCCCAGCCGAATTCATTCACTGCCAGCCGTTTTAGAGTATTTGACATTTGCAGGATACCGTGGTAAGCGGTTATGTAAACGAACACCAAACGAGCAAATGAAAGAAGACTCCCATTTTACCCGGAAGAAAATAGTTTGATAGTTTTGTAATATTTTACAAGAGCGGTTGGGGGGAAAAAGCCGTTTATCAAGGTGCACTCCCATCTGTGCTGATTTCATCTCTAAAATAGGCCCTTTGATCTCATTCACTGATGCTTGTTGCCCCTCAGTAAAATTGTTTCCAAATTACTAGAATTGTGCTCCGGTACTTGATTTATAAATTATTGTTCAGCAGCATTTTTTTGTCCATTCCAGGCATAGATTCTGACATCATCGATGAGGCTATCTACTACTTCAAGGCAAATGTGTTTTTCAAGAACTATGAGATCAAGGTGAGACATTGCACGAGCAATATGCAGTTTCCCCACATTTTCAAGCTATCAGACAGAATGTTCAATGACAAAACAGCGCTGACGGCATGCATATTGCTTTCAAGTAGCTGTGCACTTCATTCCTTTGCATGCCCTCACTTGCTTCCGATAGTTGCCCGGAGTGGGCCTTTGAATGAAATATATATTTAATTTAATGCATAACGTTGTTGTTTTGTTTCTTTTTTTCAGAATGAGGCAGACAGGACGTTGATCTACATCACACTCTATATTTCCGAGTGTCTAAAGAAGCTGCAAAAGGTAAATATATTGAAGCTGATATTCATTTGCGGTAAAAGTGAAAATATTGCGTCAACATTTTGAGTAATACAAATTCCCCAACACGTTTAAATGCCTTTAATGTTTGCTAATCAGCTTTTCAAATGTGCGACATTTTAGGGGCTTGTTTTTATTTTTTTCCCCCAATTTTTTTTTTTTTTTTTAATTGGTCTGTGTGGCATGTCTGACACATTTTGATAAAGGCAGCAAAGGCCAGAGACCCATTTTTCGAGTGCGCTTAATGACTGACTGTGTTTGTTTGCGCGTTACCCTTTGCAGTGTAGCTCCAGAGGCCAAGGGGAGAAGGAGATGTACACCCTCGGCATCACTAACTTTCCCATTCCTGGAGAGCCTGGCTTTCCACTCAACGCCATGTACGCCAAGCCCGCTAACAAGCAGGAGGAAGGTGAGACGCCGCTCAAGAGCATTCACGAAACCAACAATAACACGCCGGCAGTAGTTTGAGTCTGGTCTGCCATTTGGTGGTATTGTTAATACGCCTGAAAGAAGATCCTGATAAGAACATTGCCATTTCATGATGTTCTCCAACCGTGTCCAGACACGATGAGGCTCTACCTCCAGCAGATCAGACAGGAGACCGGCTTGAGGCTGTGCGATCGTGTGTTCGACCCCCAGACAGACAAACCGAGCAAGGTGAGTCTACTTCGTACACTCACAAAAGGGTTGATTGGACCAGCAATACAATGTTGAGCAGCCCAAATGTATTTTATCACTCGATGGTTCATGTATTGCATGGTGGCCACTGTCAATTTTATTTTTTTTCCCCAGAAAATTTCCCTCACAAATTTCTGAACATCCTGCTGTGTTTGTTTCTTTCAGTGGTGGATGTGTTTTGTCAAGAAGCAGTTCATGAACAAGAGCCTGTCTGCTCCAGGACAGTAAACGGAGGGGGGGGCAGTGTTTGCATCCGTGCCTCTTAGATGGGACGCTTTATTTCTTCAGGTTGGATTTGTGCTGTTTGGGGTGCAATTTGGAGTTGATAAACCTCATTTACAAATAATATTAAATTGAGCTGGTGCTTAATTCAATAAAGCAATTATGGTTGGAGGACAATGTTCTGTTTTCTTACTGCATGTGCTCTTGAAAATTTTACTCTGAAATTGTTCAAGGAAGAGGGAGCATATTTACCGTGACCTTTTTTTTTCAGTTTTCATGACTAATTTAGGGCACAAACTAGTGAACAGATTCCCATAAAAGTAGGGCATTTTCGATAACATTGCAAGAATCAACGCCAGGTATCGCTTTAGTGAGGGGTATATTTTTTGTTTCTGAATTGCTTTACATACCTTGATTTGTTTACTGACTGACATTTGCTCTCCTACAGGATGAGACTACAGATTAACCGGGATTACTCTAATGCTTGCATACTATTAATGTGTAGCCCTGTTGATTTCTATTTTTTTTTCACTCAGCCTTTTATATTTAAAACGGATGCACAAGTAAAAGCACTCGAATGAGTTGGAAGCAAAATGTAATTGAACAAATGGCGCCAAACTTTATTTCACACTGAAGTACGATCCTCTCAAACATATCACACAACTGCTAGAACACTTGCCAGAGCAAATTTTGGAAATGAAACCACATAACATTCCGATATGCCCTTTTGTTTTCCACAACACAAGCCCTCAGTTTGTTTTCATAAAAGGCACTGTAGGCTTTATGGCTCAGTGTGGCAGCTCTAACCCCCCCGAGTCCCCACCCTCCCCCCGGCAAAAACTTCTTCACTGCTTCTTGTTTTAAAATAAATAGTTAATATAAAGAAAAACTAAGATTGGAATATGCTGCATGTATCAAGGTTCTGGTTTAAAAAAAAAAAAAAGATGGCTTTTGCAGGTAAATTGTTGCGTCTTTTGAAATCCGGAAACATGTCTTGTCAATGAAGTGGACTCTGGTCCGCCTCTCAGCATTCCTGGTTCACCTCAGCAAGTTTTTTTAAAAAATCCCCAAACTGAAAAATAGCACAACCAAATCAGGATTCCGTAGTTTGTGTGCCACTCGGTCACGTTAAAAGTTGTTGCACTTACATGCAAGACGTCAGTCAAAAGCCATCTCTTGACTTTTCCGCACACAGCGTGCAACCTTCTTCTTAAAAATTCCCTTGGGATCGTCACGCCATTCTTTCTGTAAGGCGCAACGAACAAACGTGAGCATTTGGTCTTTCGAATGAAAGCTGTCAAGGCCCGGCCACAAACTAACCGCCGCGTCAACGTTGGCGGGAGAATCGCCGTTGGGGTCTGCCAACATGGAGATGACACTGATCATGATGGTCTCCACGGTATGGATTGGCAACCAACGCTCCTCTGGCTTCTCGTAGCCATACTTGTCTTCTCCAGGCTCGTGCAGGATGGAGATGCACACGTCGCCGTTTTTTGCAACTGGCCAACAGACAAAACGGATGGTGAAGCCTAAAAAAAATGTGACTAGAAAGCCAGTTTGCACACGGCGGCAAAAATATCCCGCACCAAAATTGGCGTAGGATATTTTGAGAACAATATTCACTGTTTATATAAATTTGCTACAGTATTTGTGCAGGTCAGTGAGAGAATACAGTGCGACTTTTGACTCTGGTACAGATCAGGTTTACACAGGAATGTTATTCCAAGGACCTTAACTTTCTCTTCTGCCGTAGATTGGTAGCTTCTTTTTACTCTTGTGTGCCAGTAAATAATGTTAAGTAGTGCATAGAACAGAAGAATACAAACCGTTAGGATGCCAGATTTCTGTGATGAACTTCATTTTGGGTGGTCTTAAAGGATAATCCCGTGGAAAGGTTAGAGTGGCCTTGAAGAACCCTCCTTCACTACGGAATGCAGACATACCAGAAATCATCCGTTGAAATTCAAGCACTCCAAAAAAGACAATGAACAAATTTTTAATGATGACTGGTAGAACGTCACTTACAAGAGTGTGTCCTGGGGTCCAATGACGACCACTTCCCACTGAAAGATGTCATTGTCATCCACAAGACCCGCCGAGAAGCCTTCCACGGGGTTCTTGTTCAGATCTGAAAGGTCACATTCGTTTGCTGAGACGTGGCACGGGTGTAATGCCAATCAACTGGCGAATAGCACGCAAATGATCCGTGTTTAACAGCTGGGGATGGGATCCTTTCACGGGTCCTCGTGCCCACAGAGGACTTTACGTGCGTGCCAGTGATTGAGCAACGGCAGCTAGTTTCAACTTGTAAGTGGCCGCTCTGTGTTCGTGAACGCACTATTATACAAAACCGTGTCTCAACCAACCCAAACCTTAAACGTTACCGTTCTAGTTAAATATATCACAGAGCTATGCCTCCACTTGGCCGTAGCACCGCTTTGCTAACTTACCTGCTAATTGTTTTCGTAGCAACAACGCCGATTGTCCCGTCATTTCTCTGCTAACTAAAACTTTCCCACTCTGTTATTTGAAATAACTTTTTCTTAAACAGTGTCAGGCAACAGACCCCAGTAAAACAGACATTTGACAAGATCCACGTTTTGTCGTGCTCTGAATACGCCGACCACACGATCTAATGGGGGCGGGGAGAGCTCAGAAAACCTAAAAGCAATTTTCATTTTCCCTCAGTTAGCACTGGCAGGAACCTACGCTGTTAGTATTCTCATGTAACTTTGGAGAAATACTAATTGAGTGATAAGTTATGGTCAGAATTACAATAATGAAACAAAAAGTATGAGAATTTTGGAAGCAAAACACACAGAGAAATACAACAGTCATAGAAAAACCTCCAAGACAAAATATCGGAAAAAGCACTATGACCATGAATACAGCGCTACGCTTAATTTGAACGGCCAAAAGTAAAATTGAACGACAATTATCGATACTGTATAAACGTTTACGTTTTTTGTCCAAATAACATGCCCAGAAGATGTACTTTCTACCCTAAAGTATAATTAAGATAAAAATCCTTTTTTTTTCTCTCGTTTTTCTTTTGGTTTGTAGTGGTAGTTCAATCTTGAATGCAATGATGACTGTGTTTCATTTGAAAGTATTTTTAGTTTTCACTGATAATTATAATTATATTAATATGTTTCCATGATATGGCAATAATGGCAGATAGCCCTCACTTTGTCAGCTGGGATAATGTCCAGCTCATGATCGATGCCAGCGACCTAAAGCAGGGGTCACAAACGTAGTGCTCGTGGGCACCAGATAGCCCCCAAGGACTACACAACTAGCCCGTGGGTCTGTTTCAAAAATATCTCACAGTGATAGGACATTGGGATTTTCTAGGAAAATTGATCATTTCAAAATGTAGACACTGCCAGAGATTTACAGAAATGAAGTGTTGTAAATTGACAGTTATTTGTTTCCCAATTATTATGAGAAATCATGACTAATAAGTGTCTCTCACATCAGTTAATAGAATCAATTATTCATAAAAACATCCAATCAAAGATATTTTGAGAAAAAGTGTTATTTCAAAAGTGTCAATCAAACTGATAGCCCTTTGCATTAATGAGTACCCAAGAAGTAGCTCTAGGCAAATTGACATCTCCCGAGTTTTACTGATGTCGCCCGTGACACCATAAAAATATACACTTAATTGGCAAAGTATCGGTAAGCAAGCGCCGATTTTCGCACACTCATTGTGTTCCGAGGGCAAAAACGTATCGCATTATTATTCCTTGGACAGATTCAGGGAACGAGAATTTTCCCTCAAAGAAAAGGTTAGGCGTCTTCAATAAAGGTTGCCTCAAAGGTCGCTGCATGTTGTTCACTTCTACTCGCCGTTAATCATTATCGCTTTAATGTAAAACAATTTGCTGAGATTGAAAGCTTCTTGCGCTTAAAATTGGGAGTGTGTTGCTAGTTTGAATTCCATGAATTCGATATATACTTGTGGAATGTTTGATGGAAGGCAGGCAGGAAGTCTTTTTTTTTTTATTAACTCTTTTCACTCACCATTTTTAGTAAGTGTATCAGACTTTTACTGTCTTGCACTTGTATGAACAATTTAGTCGCTGTCGTATAGGACTCAACAAATGTTTTCTTTTGACGCAAACATTTATGAGATTTCATTCTCACTTATTTTTGCGGGTGCCCGATGTGGTTGCAATGCATTTGTAGTTAAGATTCTATGTGATGCTCATTCTGGATAGACCACTCTTATTCAAGTACCTTGTCAAGTGGAGGGTCGTAAAAGAAAATGTAACCACAACTCAGCATAATCTCAGGGCTATCCGGTTGTATTTTATCAATTCAGTCATTCACTTTTTCAAATTTCCGGTGGAATATCTGTAGTGGAAAACAGCTTTAAAGAAGCGTCCCCGTGATTTATTGCCTGGCACCAATTCCTCCTCCTCAAATTAATGGGAATTTGGACTTGGTCGGCCTTAGTTTAAGGGTGATGGAGGACGTGTTGAGAAAAAAAACCCTCCGACTTTGTGTTTAGTTCACTTCCAGGAGGAACCTTGACGTAGGAAGATTTTCCTATTATTAACATCAGCAAAGCAAGCGATGAGTACTGTGATAAACGTCACTGTCCAGTTAATGAGACCTGCATTGTTGGTAGTTCTCAGTAGGTGGCAGCGTGTCACAGATTTCTGAGCAGAGAAGCTGCCGACTGTTCCAAGTTTCACCTCAACACCCATACATTCATTTTCTCAAGCTTGTGCGTCCAGTGTAATCTTTGAGGAGAGTCCCTGGAGTCTCACTGCTTTCTCCCTGTCAGAATGCAGACTGCAATGTTTCGAGAGAGAGAAATAAAAATGCAGACTCACAATACAGAGTACATATTTGAAAGGCCACAATCAACCCCGGGTGAGCCTTGGTGCATCTGGTCGTCCCGCTTGATTGACCTTTCTAACGCCTTGATTGGGCGTGTTTTCCCATTGATATGCCCTCTTTTAAATAGTGGAGCATTAAACCCCTGCAGGGGAAGACCACAACCCCCTGCCAAGCTGATTGCATCCTGCCTTTATGTAAATCCACCCCCCCTGCCCCCCTCCCTACATGGTCATGGATGGAGTTCCCCGATGTGGCTGGAAATTATTGGCCCAGTCAAAATGATGGAGAAAAAAAATGACTGGTAATTCAATTGGATTCTGGTCACTATACAACCAACACGCACTGTTATGTAAAAATCCTAGGCAGCCATTGGACTGAATTCTATCAAGACACCAATTCTAATCCGAATATTAGGATACTGTCAGAAAACAGACAATGAAGCAAGAGAAGTATAAAGCGGGCAAGTATAATGTGACGTTTGCCTGAATGTCGATTTACTTGTGTGAAATGTCATTCAGGACATGCATTACAAAGTCAATAATGATCTAAAAATACTCAGGGTACCTCTCGTAAAGGGGTGTCGAAATGTTTTCGTGAGAGGGCCGCATACAGAAAAATGGAACATATTTACCCACAATTCCCACTGGTTACCAAGCTCCTGCACTTTGCCCACATTCACCATTTTTTTTGTCTTTTCTTTTTGTCTTTTTTTTCTTCACTAATTTTGTGGGCCATATTAAATGTCCATCCATCCATCTTCTAATCCACTTTTCCTCACGACGGTCGCGGGGCGTGCTGGGGCCTATCCCAGCCGTCATGGGCAATAGGCCGGGGACACCCTGAACTGATTGCGAGCCAATCACTGGATGTCATAGGTCATTTTCAGTCATTTTTGTTTGGCATGTCGCGGGCCGCTAAAAATGAATGGTGGGTTGCAAATGGCCCCAGGTCCGCAGTTTGGACACCCATGCTCTAGTCCTCTTGATATATAAAATTTCATTTAAAACAACGGTATGTCAAACTGCTGCAGCATAGCGACAACCGCTGTCGAAGAGGACTTACTCTATGTTAGATGTTTCTTTTGTCTTAAATATCATGGCTGGTATCGGGAGCCTCCACGAGTACTCAATACGATACAACAAGGGCAGTATCAGTACTCGCCCATCCCTAAATAATACACTTAGGGTACTTCAGGGAAAAACCAAAAGCTAAATAAAAGTAAACTATTGAACAAACATTTTGTATTTTTTTTCGCAAGCACGAAATCATGTGCGCAGTTGCACCATGTTCGAGAAAGCAGAGGTCAGGAAATACGCTAAATCCTTCTCGGATCATACCGCTCACGACTCGAGTGCACATCATGTCCCGGACTCCTCTTTGAGGTTTAACTTCCGATAGATGAAATGTCTCCGTAAAAGCTCGCTTGAATGTGTGTTGTGGGGTTGTTTCAGTGCAGGCCCTTAATGGCACCACATGTGGTATTTGGTTCATTTTAATGGAACGTTGTAAAAGAAAATATGGGCCCCTCAGGCTGGACACCCGAAATAGATGCCCTTGTTGTCCTCTCAGTTGGTGGCTGGTCATGAATGAGAGTCATTCGGTGTTTACCGGTGTTCCAATTTCTGCGTGCACATAAAAGCTACAACAACATTGATCTGCAAGATTACAGGATGAAAACACAATTGGCCTGGTTAAAGCATCATGCTACACAATTCATTCATGCGGACAGAATCAACAGTGAGAGAGAGACAGAGAGAGTTAGCGAGAGGCGTTGCTCGCAAAACCCCGCCCCTTGCAACATTCCGGGAAGTGTTATCAAGGGCTAAGACATCTGGATTTCGAGAGAAAAGCTTTTTGGGGGTCATATGTTTGTCCCACTTCTTTTTCTTTTTCGACGCTGTCTACATGTCATGCTTCACCATTTGAGTTCAAATATCTGTTTCAAGTGTTATAACACAGCCACCTAGATGTTATTGCATTAAGGTAGTGGAGGCAACATTATGGGCGGGATTTTGACTACACAATGTGAAATTGTCTTTTATGTTTGGTTTGATAGCAACAGCTTTTTTTCCTTTTTATTTATTTATTTATTTATTTTTTATTTAATTTATGGACAGCAGCGGCCCGGTGGTCCACTGGTTAGCGCGTCGACCTCACAGTGCAGAGGTTCAATTCCAGCTCCGGCCTCCCTGTGTGGAGTTTGCATGTTCTGCGTGGGTTTTCTCCGGGTACTCCGGTTTCCTCCCACATTCCAAAAACATGCATGGCAGACTGATTGAACACTCCAAATTGTCCCT